GGTAGGCAAAATTGCAGGAAGTTACATTATTTTGAAAAAGTGGTAAGGCGGTTATCACAATATTAAGGGGGGCTGAGAACTATTGCAGAGTGATAAGGGGGGGGCGGGTTGAGCAATATTGTTGCCTCTACCATGGAGGTGGGTTGGGTTATGTTTGCAAAGCTTTCCATGTGATTTTGTCATCAGACTCCCCCATGTGCTAATAAATGAAAGCCACCTTACCTTATGCCATTCACAAATATGGCTTGTGAGAATACAGGACTCTTCTCAGGATTCAAGTTCATTGGTATTATTAATCTTTTTTACCATCGGAAATGTGATGTCATGTGATGCTTTTGGTTAGGTTATGGTGGTGGATTCAATGAAAGAGGAACYGTAGAGTATAAAGAAAGAGTACCTTCTGATGATGATGATTATGATGAGGTAGGTATGCAATAGGCAATGTRTATCAAAGCTCACAAAGCACTATGGGAAACTGAGTACTACAATGATGGAACAGGGAAATCAAAGGAACAACCARAAAAAAATTACTCTGTCATTTTTGTATGCTGAAATGCTTACATTTCTATACAAAATGCTGAAGAAAAATTAGTTATGTGACTTTTTGAAGGAGCTGAAAAAGCACAAGTACTTGGTTTCCCAACATGATCATTTATCTTTAAGTTTGGTTCAGGTACACAGGTAGCCAGCTAGTAGGATAATACAGAGAAATTAAAGGTGTTTGTAGAAGAGGTTGTTCAGTCCTTGGATTGTGTTTACTTAAATGATTGATCTTGTATATTACTCCTGGGTGAGGTTAGTCTCCTACGCAGATGTTCTTAGTGTCTGTCACACAATGTTTCCCTCCCTAAATGTCTGCTWACTTGAGCAGAACATTCCTTTTCAAAAATTGTCCAACCAGCTTGAGCCTTTAAAATCAAGGTTCATGCTGATTGGTCGATAGATACTATGACTTCGCGACAACAAACATTGTATATCTTATAGAAGTGTTTCAGCATTTATGCAATGTATAAARGTCTGCGTAGGAAGCTAGGGCGAGGTATACAGTTTAGAAATCGTGATATCTTTAGTTTTATTGTGGACCTACAGTATTTTGATCATGTGGATGTGATGTTTTYCCCTTTTTAGTTTGGGCGTAGGAAGAAAAAGAAGGGTGCAAACCAACAAGATGAAAAGGTATGGCTAACATTCATAATAATATTGTATGGTTCCAGAAAATGTCCACACTGGACCAAGAAGGAAATTGGAAATTCTTAGGGGGTGGGAGGTCAGAAGAAAAACAAAATTGCAAGGTTTGTATGGAAGAAAATTTGAAATATGACTGTGAAAAGCTCAGTGCAGTATGTGTGCTGTGTCATGACCCTGATGTTTTCTAGAATCTTAATTGGCTAATTTCTTTTACGCAATGTGATTGGTCTAGCATTGCCACGACTTTGGTGTGCCATGTCCGCAAAGTGATCACACCATGTTTTGGGCAATTGTTTGGATGAAGAGTAAATTAATGCGCAATGTGATTGAATTGGCACATACCTTGCAGTGTCATGACCGCGCTCATGCTGTAAGCTTTTCACAGTCAAATGAAAACTGCTTTAATATTGTGGTGGTGGAATGCAGGTAGAATATTCCCTGAAATCTGACATTCTTAAATCTGTAATTGAATTTCAGAAAGAAGAAAAAGTTGTGGAAATTGAAGACAAGGAAGATGAAGATGTTTCAAAATATGACTTGGAGGAAGAAGAGGTAACAACAGTTTCTATTACTGTGATTCTCGATATTTTGAGTGAGTAAAGGGCACRACTTTGAGTGCTCTATACAGATGGCTTGTAAGATTAGAGCAACCACTTTCTGCATTATGAAAKTAAATTACCTTAAATTAAATTACCAATTTCACGACAAGCAGTGAACATTTTCACAATATTTAGAATTGCAGTGACCTAGTAGTTTTAAATGAAGAATTCTGATGATTGATTATGTTATTTAGGATGATGAAGATGTTGATCTCTCCAAGTATGCCCTTGATGCATCTGATGATGATGATGATGATGAGACCAACATACCCAAGAAAAAGGGCCGGTAAACACTGTAAAACCACTCACAGCCACTATGCACAATAAGTGACATGGCATGGAATTTTGTGGGCTGGTTACTCTTTCATAATCTATTATTTTTCCCCATTTCAGACCACTCCATAGGTCTTTTAATGCATTCTGTTTAGCAGATGGTTGCAATCTTGTCTTGCTTTGTTACAGACAACACCATGTAAGGCATTGTGGACAAATACTTTTTGTACCAAAGCTAGACAACAATGCACAATATTTCTTTTAGAAAAAATCTGTTGTTCTTTGTTTGCTGGTGATGCTTGAAAAGGGGTATCATATGGACGACACTCAAAAACCTTATTTCTAGGTCTGAAATGGGAAAGCTTTAYATCTTTTACCACTACCTAATGATTATTTCATAAATTAACTTTCATAGTTCCAAACGATTTATCAAAGGAACATTGTRATTTAGTTGTTTGAAAGCAAGTTATCTAGAACTGCATAAATTGTTCAATTAACCATTCTAGGTCCAGATCAAGGTCTTCCTCAAGATCTAGATCATCACGCTCTCCAAAGAGAAGGCGTAGAACTTCTTCATCATCAAGTAGTTCAAGGTCTCGTTCAAGATCCAGATCCCGTTCTCGCTCAAGATCAAGATCATATTCAAGATCACATTCTAAATCAAGTTCATCATCATCAAGGTCTTCATCACGATCTAGATCCAGGAGTAGGAGCAGGAGCCACAAGCGAGCTAGATCTAGGTCAAGGTCTAGGTCACGGTCTCATTCCAGGTCRCCTAAGAGTAGGAGGTTTGGATTTGTAGAGAATGGATTTCAGCATCTTACATTTATCAATCTGATTAAAAAAATTTTTTTTTTAGTCACCAAACTTACAATTTATTTTGTAATTTTTCAAAGCTTACATCAGAATGTTAAAAGTTTAACCTGTGAGTTTCAAAAAATGAATCATAGCATAGTTATTATTGATCTGCATGCTGAATTTTTTGATACTTCTGTTTGAAAATTGTTGCAATGTATAGTAGTATTTGTTTTGAGAAAAAATCTGAATGCTTTTTTATAGATACATATATATGAGCTACTAGTACTGGCCATTATAAAGCTGTTGATACCATTACTGCTATTTCCATAAACATGCAAACTCGCTGTGAGTTGCATGCTGAAATTTGGTTTTTTCGCTGCCATCAATCAAAGCTAATCAGTCAGTTCCTTTCATAGTTTTGACTGTTGGCAGTGAAAAACCGAATTTCAGTGTGCAGCTCACAGCTACAAAGTTTGCATGTTTATGAAGATAGTAGTAATAGCTACAGATAAAAAATAGCTTAGCTATACTGGTATTCAGGGTATGATCATTAACAATGTGGTTTTTTTCAACAGAAAGCACCCAAGATCAAGATAGAATCCCACATTTGTGTGAGGTCAAGTAAGTTGGGGTGTTGGTTGGAACTTTGCTTTCTGCTAATACCAAGATAAGGAGTAATGTTTAACTTGACAATAAACTATTAATCTTAGTGATTAATGAGAATAAGAAGTTCCTAGCACCAAATGGTTATATTACAAAAAAAACATTTTACTTTCATGAGCAGCAAAAGATTTGAAAATTATTGTGATAAATAAGAAAAGTAGAATGCATTATTAGTCAGTGTTGAATAGTTATTTAGTTGACATCAACTAAAATGAATAAGTATGTGCCAAACCAACAGCCATGCAAATCCAGGGGTTTACATCACCAGTGAATGTGTGAAGAGACACATAAGACATCAACTAAAATTGTAAATAGCTGATATGATTTAGATGATTAAGAAAATAAATGCAAGAATTGCTGGACGTTTCGATGACATCCTGTAATCATTTTCAAYGACATTATTTAATGACAGATCAAGCATGAATTACTGTACATATATATAATATGCYGCTGAACCCATACTTAATCAACTGGTTTATAAATTTCTTATATAATCGGAAACAGCAAACTATATGTAACAATCATTTAACAGTTTGGAAAAACATAAATAGAGGGACATTACAAGGAACAGTTAGTGGACCATATCTATTCAGTATTTTTATTAATGATTTAGAGATATTTGATTCCTCCGGTCCTGATGAGGAAGTGTTACTCAAATATGTAGACAAAGTACTATTGTATCTCCTGTTTTCTGTGTTACTGGAAATCTAACTAAAAATTCAGTCAGTTATGTTAATTCTTTCATGTTATGGTCCTCAAATAATAGTATGTCATGCAATCCTACTAAGTGCAAAGAAATAATTTTTACTAAGAAAGGAATGGACCAATTTAGTTTTCAGCCTATTTCTAATATTCCTCAGTGTAGCAGTCT